ATTTAACATTTGAAAATCATTGATAAATTTTATTTGCTGTAATTTTAATTAATGGAGTTTTGATTAACTTTTGGGGATGATGAATTCCATCTTGTTTTTATGTGATTTATCATGTAATGTAGAGAAGTTTGGAGAGGTTAGATTTTTTATATTTTTTTCAGAATTTTGAGGATTGAAGGGTTAGTTTCAGTTGTTTGCAATTTTTTATTTTGAAAAATTTTCTCTCTGGAGAGAAAATAAACATTTTTTTATAATCTGTATTTTAGAGACTGAAATTGAGATTGAAATTTTAGACAAACTATTATTTATTCGCGTGATTTATGGTTTACCCTCTTTATCGAAAAACTACAGTTTGACTCTGCCACATCTTTAGAAAGAAACAAAACGAAACTTCGCGCTACCTCTCGTCTACATACATTCACGAAAAAATTCTCATTCAAAACGTATCTCTCGCTCTGAGAAAAAAAATTCCACCTCTGAAAAAAATCGCATCATTCACACTTCGCAAACCAACCTAAACTTCAAGAAGAAATCATGTTAACATCATACTTTCTACAAAAGATGCATGATACACGCGAAGCGTGTTCCAAAAATCTAAAAAGGAAGCTGTCTCTGTTCAAAGTGACACATATTTCACCGTAACTTTAGAATCGAGTACGTAGACATCTCTTGTAACAGTTTTAGTAGATTCTCAGCTTTCCCAAAGTCTCTCGAAACACCGTGGAGGAACACGAATGGGACAATGGATGATCCAACGTCGTTTTATTATACTCGAACACGCCGCAACCAGGCTGTTCGCATGACTCGTTCGAGGTGTTAAAGGTTACAATCGCGTCGTGCACTGTCATAAAGTGGGCATCGAGCGAGAAAGTTGGTTTAGTGCCAGGAAATCGGTCCCGGTTCCTAGGTGTATATGTCGCGCTTAACATACCACTATTTCTGGATCTCGACGGTTACTCGTAGCTGGAAACGCGGCCACAAGTGAATTATGTGACCAGGGAATTCGATTATTGTTAAATACGGTAGTGGTTCGTTAAACGGCACCTAATATGTTTGCAACAGTTGAGACATTGGAAGATGCCTTATTTGCATTCAATGGTGAAGAGAGGTAATTTTCTGGAAATATACTTTGCCTCTACTGAGTGAGTGTGACTACTTAACGAAAATTATTACTATATTATGTCTACTTGAGGAAAATGAAAGTACAGGAAATGATGGAAGTTATTTAAAATTTTTTAGAAATGTATCTTCTTTTATAAATGATCCTCTCAACATGTCAGATTAATTAATAAAACATTATTATATTAAATCTTGAAGATTGAAGATGAAGATGGATGATTCAAGAAATGATGATCACTTTCAGATACTTAGAATTCTTTTTTTAAAGAATACTTCTATAATTATATTATTTTATAATATTACTATGATATTTAATTTTGAGAAGTAAAGTTTTTCATCGAGGTTTATTCTGAAAATGGTGAATGATATAGAATTAAAAATGCCAGGAATTTTTTAGAAATATAATCCTTTTCGATCCATATCCAAATATATATATCTAAATATAGTTTTAATTATAATCAATTAATAAAATACTATCCTATATTATAAATTTTATTTAACAATCGATTATATTTTGTTATAGGATTAATTTTATTATAGAATTGGTTATCAGTTGATTACTATAATCGCGAAACTACAAAAACTTTATAATTAATTCTTCGACTCTCCTTAGATTTAATTCAAAAACGTAAATTACTTTAAATAAGTAAGATAGATTTCAAGTCTTAATTCTTGTATAAGTGCCAACAATTTTGCACTTATCATTTACAACTCTATATTAAATATTTTAAAAAGGTTATATCACAATTGGCAAATAGTTTCACACTCAGTAATATTAATTATCAATTAAATTAAATTAGATATCTTTGAAAGATTTCTTTATTCAGATTATTATACTCGTATTCATTGAAGAAGAAGGATTATATTTCTAAAAATATATCTGGATAAAAAGCTAAATATAGTTCCGACACGTACGAAACGTCACTTAATCTTGAGAATCCTTTTGATCAGTGGAACGATTGGTCGAATTTATTTGAGGAATGATTTTGTTGTTGTTTTTTGAGCTTGTTCATTCCGCTCGTGATTCATAGAAGATCGCAGCCAAGAATGTTGGCTTTTGTTTGATCTTTGGTTAAGGAAAAAGTTGAAGAATCTCTTTACAATGATCCATAAGTAGAGTCGAATGCCAACTTCTTTATTTAGTTACTTTAGAGGGATATAAGTTGGAGGAATAAAAGCTTTGTTCACGAGTTATATTGAGTTTTTTATGGAAGTTGAAATCTTTATGGCTGTCTGAAAATTTGTAAAATTTATTTACTATCAATTTACTACAATGTGTAATTTGAAATTTATTGATATAAACAGCCAAGTATCTGCGTAATTTTACATAATTATAAAATAACAATTCTGATATCCATTATTTCGAGTTTTGAATAGTTGTGTTAGTATAATTTCTTTTTTAATCTGATCTGGATTTTTAATTTGTAAAATTGAACAAATTTTATATTTAAATTTAGGAAAAACTAGGATTCCACATCTGCATAATTTTACATAATTACACAATAACTCTAATACTCGTTATTTTCCTCCATCTTAATTAATGCACTAATATTTTTTTCCCTCTCAAGCATGAAATTTCGACGAATATTCTATAAGTTTTTAAAATTTATCATATCGACAAGAGTCTCGTATTAAGTAAAAATCTTCAATCTCTTTATTATAACAAAAATGTATCAAATGCCATCAGAGAATGCCAAAGAAAAAAAACCAATAATCAAATCAATTCCTGTGCAATATCAAACAATCAGAGAACCCACTAAAAGATCGAGTAATGGTTCCACTCATGGCACTCTAAATTACGTTTATCGTGTTTATTCATCCCTTCCTGACTGGACCAACAGTTTTAGTCGATCGAATCGATCGAAAAATCATATTAGCCATTAGCAGAGCCATCAAAAGGGATCGTGGAACGATCGAAACGAGCAGCGAAGGAATAGGGAGGGAGGGAAAAAAAAGAGGGTTGGTCGTATCATCGGGGAAGATTCGATTCTCCAATCGAGTTACCTTCTCGAGCTCGAACTCTCGTATCCTGTGAATGGAACCGCCGATGGCCTTCTTCATTAAGCTCATTTTGACGGACTGTCGTCGATCGCTCGCCACGGGCTCGAATCGAGGCCAAAATTCTCGTTTAATTGTCCGCAATGATCGACGAAGAGATCATGAGCCTCGCATTCTGTCATTTCGCGATGAAGGATCCTCGCTTTTGTTTTCCACGCCCTCGCGTTGTCGATTCAACTTTGAATCATTTCTGTGAAATTGAATGAAATTTTGAAGTAATTGGATCGATTATTATTTAGTAATTAATGATTTATTTGTGTCGAATAATTGATGTCGGAAATTTTTACTCGTTCATTTTCATTTAATCTATTTAGTTTTGATTTTTCGTGAAGAGTATTTTTTTTTTTTTTT